AAAAAAAAAAAAAAAAAATCTATCTATCTATCTATCTATCTATCTATCTATTCAAATACAGTTTTAAATTCAGTGGCTAACAACAACTATGTAAGCAAGCATTCTCCTTTGAGAGTTTGCCCAAAAAAGAGATAGACATGATTAATTTGCAACCTGTGAATGCTTTGTTCGGGAGAGTGCTTCTCAGGTATTGATGGGAGTTTACAAAGAGTTAGTTCTCTTTGAAGACTTAAATGTCTCCCTAAAAAAGTCATGTCATTACTAATTAATTTAGCCAACCTTTTCTTTGTAGATAACATAAAAGTTAGCTTCATTTTAGACCAACCTGATTTATCACAAATTCTAAATTAACTATAAATATGCATCAAAATGTACAAACAGGACTCGGCTGATTCAAACTATTTGTTCACATAATTAAATATTATACCTGTATTACAGCATCAATATGTCAATGTATTGACTCAAACTATGATGCAGTTTGTTCATAGAAGTTTAGAGCTTTAAGAATCCAGAATTAATATCTAGTTAAGTTCCTAAAACTACCTAGAAAATACAGGTTATTTAATACATATTTTTGAATAATTCTTGTCTTTTTTGAGAGCAAGAAATAGGCTAGTTTGAGTTAAATTTAAATATTCTCAGAAAGTTTTAGAAATGAATACAGAAAAGTTAAATGGGTAACACTAATATAAAGTGTATAAAATAATGAATTTGTTAATCATTCTTCTATTCCATGGATATTTATCCCTAAAATGCTTTACAATACAGAAAAATAGACAGAGAATATACAAATTATGTGTTTATTATGAGCATATATGTTTTATAGGCACACAGCTACCAAAAGCTCCGTATACAGCTAAGCACTGCAGACATACTTAATTCAAACCATTCCCAATACTTATCAATTTTTAAACATTTGTATGAAAATACAAACAATATTAATTTTTACTTCAAAAATTTACTTCAAATCAATATTAAATATTTTTTAAAAACTTTTACGGCCGGAAACTATGGCTCACGCCTGTAATCCCAACACTTTGAGAGGCCAAGGCGGGTGGATCACCTGAGGTCAGGAGTTCGAGACCAGCCTGACCACCATGGTGAAACCCCATCTGTACTAAAAATACAAAAATTAGCTGATGGTGGTGGCGGGCACCTGTAATCCCAGCTACTTGGGAGGCTGAGGCAGGAGAATCACTTGAACCCAGGAGGCAGAGGTTGCAGTGAGCAGAAATCATGCCACTGCATTCTAGCCTGGGTAATAACACAGATTTGGTCTTTAAAAAAAAAAAGACTGTTATGTCATTTCTAAAGTAGTTCATAACTCTACAACTTAAAGGACTTACACGATGTTTGGGAAATGACTAACATCAGTTATTAATTAGTAAATATGTATTAAATACATTTAGAACATAAAAGACATAGATAAATTTATATTTGGGTCTTTTGCATCATTTAAAGTAGTCCACTGGAAAAAAATTGGCAAGTGACATGTTTAATAACCTGGAACAAATCTTTCACATTTGCCTTTTGAAATAAAGTATTTTATCCCAATTACACTAGCAAAGATCATTATGTCTAGAATGTTTTAAGTTCATCATTGTATTTCTGATCTCAGTATAAGAGAACTCCCTCACCGGCTATCATCAAAATGTTGCTCTTTGGGTGTGACCTTTGACAAATGGCCTTCTCCTTTCAGTGGCATCTTCTCATTCATATCTTGTCTGTGCACATAGTTTTAAAATTCCTTAAATGTACTATTTTCCTTCACTTTGAAATTAACTGACAACGCAGAAGTCTAGAGTCAACTTCAAGATTTCCAATGCTATATTTTGGAAAGTTGCAGCCTTTTCTTTTCAATAACTATGACTTTGAAGTCATCAGCCCATCTAGACTGTGTAACTTATTATGAGCAGTTACATTTACTATTCCATTAGAGATAGTATCTGCCTTGGCTTTCGGATACTTTCATAACTTATTTTAGGTTAGTGACTGGTATTTTATGGCTTTGGAGGATAAGCTGTTCTTGCCTACCAAGGACAGAGACATAAGCATAGTACAATTCTGGGAAGTCACAACTACTACCTTGGCTGTACCAGCTGCCACCAAAACACCAGCAAAGAGGCTCTGGAAGGGCCTGCCAATAGACTATCCCCAGGAAATGGGAAATCTGAGATAGGAAAGCATTCCCAAGTTATAAGAAGAACTGTTTTGTGCCACACTGGTATTTCCTGAAGATATAGGCAAATTGAAGCTACTGCTGTGGGATTTCTAAGCCACACATATTCCAATGGTGAGAAAGATCAGGGTCACCCTTGCATGACTAACACTAGACCATTGATTCATACAGATTGGAGTGATTCCATCAATGTTTTAAATGCATTGTGGTGACTCATTTACCTCTCCTCACTGCTTCATGGATGGGCGAGGCCAGGTGCACCTCAAACTGGGCCTTGGCTCCGAACTCCAGCAGTACATTGACACATGCAGCACTGCCACTGCAGCAAGCATTGAAGAGGGGTGTGGCTCCATGAACTGTCACTCCGTTGACCTAACGATGGGCAAAGAGAGACCCAGGGGATTTGTTACTTCATGCTCACCATCTCCAAGTATGTCTTCCTATGTATTTGCCTAGAGAAATTTCCCACACTGGGAAATAAGTGAGGGAACTCTACATCTTTACAGTATTATGAAACTTCATGAAGTTATTGGGTGGATCGATGAGTTACTACATGTTAAACATTTAAAACATTACGTGTCACCCAGTAAGCTGAAGCACGGCAACAACGATTATTTCCAATTTCCATTAATATGACTCCCCTCTGAATCATGAAAAAACATGGCATGAACCAAAAGCACTGGAGAAATCAGCTAGATGTGGTTCCAACATCCATGCTTACAAAAAACTCTCCTTGGCAATTCTCCTCTTTCTTGCCACAGCTTCCTCTCTGGTCTACTATAATCCACACAAATTACACATGCCAGCTGTTACCCCTAGAGATAACATGACCAACCCAAAGGGACCTAGAAAGCAGCCATCAACATGGTATCTGCAGCCATCTTTGGTCCTTGTAGGGATGTGGGAGGCACATGAGAACCAGCAGGGCTGGGAGGCATCTTTGTGTATCAACAACAGACTGGAAAGAACATCGGGAACTACAGGAATGGTGGGAGTTTCTGATGCCATTGAAATGTAGGACACCCAAGTTTTTGATATGAAACCACTTTGCTTCAACAACTAAGGATACAAACTTGTGATAATCAGGATTCTTTATGTCCTTGCTTTGGACACAAAAAAGATTTGTCTCCAGAGTTCCAATATAACCCCTGAAACAGGGTCCTGCTCTGCTATCCAGGCTGGAGTGCAGTGTCATGATTAGAGCTCACTGCAGCCTTGAATTCCTAGGCTCAAGTGATCCTCCTGCCTCAGCCTCCTGAACAGCTGGGGCTATAGGCATACATCACCATGACCCACAAATTTTAAAAAATTATTTGTAGACAGAGTCTGGCTATGTTGCCCAGGCTGGTCTCGAATTCCTGGGTTCAAATGATCCTCCTACCTAAGCCTGCCAAAGTGCCGGGATTACAGATACAAGCCACCACACCCAGCCAAATCCTCATTAAGTTGGAAAGTTAAAGATGAGATGCTAAGATGGCAGAGACATACAACGTCAGGGGGAAATGTGTATAAATTCATATTGCTAGGGGTTTCTAATCTATTTATATTTTTACTAAAAAACATTTGGTAGGACTAGTTTGATTTATGTTTTACTAAGTATCATCCTCATCCTCAGTCTAGGAAGTTGTCTTATGTGATTTCCTATAAATTTCTCTATTAGTTCATGTCAGCGAACATTTATTGAGCATCTACTAGGTGCTAATAATGTTTTGGAAACAGTCCTAAGACAATTGCCTCTCTTTGAGTAGGCTGACTTCTATTAGGGAAGACAAACACTAAGAGAAATCATTTTGATAATATAACAAATAATTTAGATGACTATGGGAGTACACAAAGGAGAGGATAGACTTGGGAAATACTTAGAAAGTAAAATTAGCAGGAGTTTTTCATTAATTAGACAGGGAGATGAAAGAAATAGGATGACTCTCAGGTTTGGAGCCTGTGAAACTGAGAGGATGTTTCACCAGGCCTCTGAGACTAGCAACCCAAGATGAGGAGCAGGTCCTGGACAGAAGAACATGATAAGCACAGTTACAGATGCACTGAGTTTGAAGTATTCATGGGACTGCCAATAATGAGGGACTGTCTACTGATGGACCAACTTTCTCTTATTTCTTTTCTCATTCTGATTTAAATGTTAAATGGTGTGATATAGTATTTATTGGTTGTTTCTTTATAAAATTGACAAACACAAGGAAACATGTCTTATTCTTCTCTTTGTGCCCAAGAAAGCCTCCTCTCTGACCTGACATTGTCAGCAGTCTGCCTATAACTCCAGTTATCTAGCTTGAAAGGAAATGGCCTTCACAGAGCCTTTCTTCATCATTAACCATGAGCTAAGTGGTAACTTAGACAAGCACTACCTAATGAAAATGCACAACCACTTAGCTGGGCACGGTGGCTCACGCCTGTAATCTCAGCACTTTGGGAGGCCGAGGTGGGTGGATCACCTGAGTTCAGGAGTTTGAAACCAGCCTGGCCAACATGGCAAAACCCCATCTGTGCTAAAAATACAAAAATTAGCTGGGTGTGGTGGTGGATGCCTGTAATCTCAACTACTCAGGAGGCCGAGGTAGGAGAATCACTTGAACCTGGTAGGCAGAGGCTGCAGTGAACTAAGATTGCGTCACTGCACTCCAGCCTGGGCAACAGAAACTCTG